CGCTCCGCTCCTCCCCCGGGCCGGCTCCCGAGGCCGCCCCCGCCGCTGTCCGGGCGCGGCGGCGGGGCTGGGGCGGGGGGCGGCGGCCGCGAGGGGGACGCGGCTTCCCGAAACTGCCTCGCTTCCCGCCCTTCTTCTCTCTCTCCCTCCGGCAAAGGCGCGTTTCGGTTGCCTGGTGCCGCTCCTCAGCCTACGGGCACCCCGGCACGTTCCCCTGCAACTCCTTCGGCCCCCGGCATCCCCGCTTCTTAGCGGGGYTCTTACAACTTCTCTAGTAAGCGCTTAAAAAGGTCCCCGCCGATCATCTGTCCTCCCCAAATTAGCCAAATGTATACCTTGGGAAATGAGCGTAGATGGTTCCTGTTCTAAATTTCCCTGGGGTTTCCACTTCCAGCACGGGCACTGCAACTAATTACTGTAATTTTAGATAAAGAAAGAGTATAATTTCAGCTGAGGAGGTGTTCTGCCTGTTAACAATGGACAACTGAGTTGCAGGGTGTTGCGTTTTCGTGCCAACATCATACTGGAAGGGGATRGGGGGCTTTTTTTGTTTGCTTTTGGTTTGTTGTGGGGTGAAGTTTTGAGAAAGGGGTCACATGCAGCTAAAACTGACATTTTAGAACATGGATGTTGCTTGGAAATTAAATTATCCTGGCCACACCAAACCCACACGGACACACATGAACTGTACTTAAAACTTTTAAAGTTTCTGTGAAAACTTAGTAAGTCAGTGGAATTATTCGTGGCCCTAAAGCTGGATAAATTAGCATCATACTTTCTTTTTTGGCTCAGCACCACAGAGAAGCACCTTGCAAAATGGCAGTCACTATTCACTGCATCCAGCACAGCTTCCCTTTGAATGTTGTTCATCCTCAGGCATTTTTCTTAAGGGGCTTGGCTGGTGTTTGTAACAGAAGCGGGAATGCTGCAGGCATCAGTGATCCACATGAGAGATAGGAGTACTCTCCAAYTTTGACTCATCTGGAATCTGCCAAGGAACATAAACAATTTTGACTTTTCTAAAGCAAAACGTTTGGTGTGACCTGCTGCTAAAGGCAGCACGCATAGGAATGGCTGCAGTAAATGTGTACAAGCTGTTTACATTCTAGCAGGTGCTTTCCAGTTGCTTGTACACTCCTCATCATTTTACCTTTCAGAATGAACTTCTCTACAGGCAAGATAAGCATTTTCTTAAAAAAAAAAAAAAAGCGTTGAGTGAAAAAATATCAATAATTTCTGAAGGAAAAAGCAAATCAGCATGTTAGCTGTAATAAAAGATGTGTTGAAACATCTTTGGTTGTTTACAAACAGGTGTAGTCCCTCTCTGAGTACAGTTAAAATGGAATGAAGCAAGGAGACAATCCCTCCTAGGCAGCTGATATGTGTTTAAGTGTTTTATTTGGAGCGATTCAATATTATTTAAAAATATTTTTCACATGGAAGTTTATTTTTATTCAGCMTTACTTAAAAAAAAATACACACCCACCCCAATCAGTGTCCTGGTGTTCCTCTGACCTGATACATTATGAATTTAACTGTTTTGAAGTACTAGCTAAAAGTGATTATTCAGAAGTAGGTGCCTGTTACATTAAACAATGTATATATGTGCAGCAGCCCACCGTGCTGTTCTTCAGCACACCAATCTGTGACCCCACTGACTCTGTGCGCACTTGCAGGTGGAAGACAAAGTAGAAACTTTCATTAGGGCCACAAATCCAGCCTCCAGCAATGTGTGATTCCAGAAAATTCAGATGAACWATAATATTTTGCATCAGCTGAGGGCCTGCCTCACCGTTGTTACTTATCTATAGGATATAATCCATGAGAGTTTCTACGGGCTGAGCTAGGACTCCTAAAAGGTAAATACAAAGCTATTTTTCTCTCCCTCCCCTAACCATTTTTCCTGATAACCCTCAAAATTTCAAGTGAAATCCTGGTTCCTTGCCCTTTTGTAACTTAACTAGCCCGAAGTCTGAATCCAAAGTTTCCTGAGATGATGTTGATATTATCTCATCTGTTTAACATTGGGAGCAGTACAATCCCTTATGCGTCACTATTGTTAGCAACTCCTGGGTTTTTTGTTGTGGGTTTTGTTTTTTTTTAACCTACTCCAGCTTTTGCAAGTAAATTTGGCATACATCACTTTTGCTAAACTTTTGACTCACGACAAAGGAAGGAAAGATTTTCAATACAAGGAAGCACCATTGTTTCGCATGTAATGTTGGATTTATATCTGCTTTGAAATTCTCATAAACTCACTATACGGTCCTTTCTCATTTAATGTGAGCTGCCATTTGTATATATCCAAATAAGATGGATGCCCAGGCCCTGAATAGACGTTCCAGATCTCTGCAGACCTTTGATCTCATGATTGCAACATCTGAGCTGGCTTAATTRTTAATGTTGGGATGTTGTCTTTCCTTTTAGCCCAAGACAGAAACTGCATGACTGCAGTTAGCCCCACTTCACCTTCAAACGGTGGGTAAATTCCTACGCAATTAGCCAGATGGCTTCAAGCCACAGCCCAGCAGGGATTCTGTCCTTTGAAAAACAACACACTCAGTCACTTGACAACCTTGATACCGGATGAGCAAATTCCCGGTGTTTGCCCTGCATAATTTAGTCCCAGGCTGAATCGGAGAAYGCCACACTACAGCACTGATTTCACTGCTGATACCGTGACTCGACCTGAAGGAGTTCTCTAAGCGATGGGATCATGAACAAATTGAGCTGAATAACAGGGRAAAAAAACCGAATTCATTTTTACTCATGCTGTAGCAGCTGCTGGCTCTTTTCTCTCCTTGCCAAGTACTTCATTCCTTCCTCCCTCCCTCGTTTCATCCTCCAGTACCAATCTTTTGTGGTAATTTCCTCTGTTGAAATTGTGACTTACAGAGCCAACTTTTCAAGTTACCGTCACGTGGAACGATTTACACCAGCACCTCAGTCAGAATGACCCATCAGGGCAACATCCCTAGAAACCCACTCCGCTGCCTGAACGCTTTCACTCAGTTCAGCCCCCTGGATTTCCCTTATAGAAATTTCCATAGAAACAGTGATTTCAACAGCTTTTCTGGGATGCCATGYTAGATTCAGCCATTAGAGACTGCTCTCTTGATTTAATACTGAGATCAGCACATCGCAGAACTTACTGGGTGACACATCATCAATTCATAGTGTTTAGTGACTTAGTAGCTATCTGAAGAGATAGCTACTAAGTAAACTTTTCCTCATTTGCTGTGTTACACTGGAATCTCTTACTAATTCTTGATAGCTTCACAGCAAGACATTGCTGAAATATATGCACTCTCTGTGTATATTGCTTTTTTTCCAAGCTGCCTGGCTGCATTTGATAGCACAATAATGCAGAGCTTTTACGTCCCATTAACATCAAGAGTGAGTGATATGGATATATAAACTGCTTTTGTCTTTAACCATGATGTTTGTACCAAGAAATGTTTAGAATATTTAATGGAGAAATTTGGCTTTCTCACTACAATGAACCTTCAGGTCTGTAATATAAATTCAGCATTAGAAAGAACCCAAAAGAAGAGCATCCTCCTACAGTATTTACTCCCCTGTAAAAATTTCCCGTGCTGCTCCCGACTCTTTTTTGGACACCAAAAATCATAGGAAGCCATTGCTACACTTATGGAGGGAACCTGAAATTTTCATTGAAGTAAAATATCAGTGGCTTGTCAGCAATAATGTTTTGTGAAGTTATTATATAGGTACAAGTGAATCGTCCCAGCTTACCATCTTTTGTGTGTCAATAATAGTAAAAATACACAACAGGACAAACTCTGCTTGCATATCTACAGATAACCGAGGAAGTTAAACCCTCCAAGATTTTGGTTGTAGAGAAACTGTGGGCTGCACAAACACCTTCAGAGGCTTGGAATTCACAACCTGGACTTCTGTGACTGTCCAATCCAGCTTTCCCAATAAAATAGGCCACATAGTTTTGCCATGCTACATCCAAGTAGTTTGAACTCTAGCCTATTGGTTACAAAAAAGAATCACAGGTTACTTTGGGTTGGAAGGGACCTCACCTTAACACTAATGTAATCTAACTTCACTTTCTAGTACTGCCAAGTTAGAAGGCAGGGCACTCTCAAGGCATTTCTGAAGATGCAATGGTAGACTATGATCAAAGCACCCTTAATATCCTCTCTGGAAGTTCCACAGACTGTTAGTTTGCTATATTCTTGAGCTTACACCAGAACTGGAGAGASCATCTCAGGCCCAACTGCTAAAAGCATGAAAGCAGCATGATGATACTGCAGCATCATCATCCCTGCTTAATATTTGTGTATCCTTCCAGGGATCATGCTGCAAGTATGCCATAACATCACATCTCTTTGGTGAACATCCCACTCTATCATCTATGTTATTAAGTATTCCCCCATTATTTGTATTTATTGCAAGAAACTGTATGTTTCCTCAAAAGATACCAACAAATATTTAGTAGTATGCAGCCAAGAAACGACCTAAGAAAGACCTTAATAAAAAGTGTGATTACAATTCCTCATTTAAAATTACATTTTGAGACATCTTAAGCTAATGCTTTAAACAGGGACTGGATGGTCTTTGTATAATAAATCTTATTCCTTGATTCAGTGTTGTGTGGTTAAATCACATGCCTCACGTGTCTGAATGCATTACCTTTAGTAACCAAACTTAATATCTTTTTGATGCAATTACAAACCAATGTGTCAGAATCTATTTGCTGCAAACCCATGTTAACTGCCATTAATTACATTACTTTTCTTTAATTCATTATTGAAACAAAGTCTGCGTCAAGGATTCTACTCTCTTGCCTAGGATCCCTGT